CAAACCAAAGGAAAAAAAAGAGAGGATTTTTTATTTAATTTTCCATTTATTTTTTTAAACTGCACAAATGAGGGGCACTTCGAGGATCTTTTAAAACATATAGAACCCGCAGGTAATTCTTAACGAAACAACTTTTTCAAGTTGAATAATCCGCGGAAAACGGTTTTGAAAAACATTACGGGACTCGAGTAGCTTAGGCATCGCATTCTGAGAAATGAAATCCTCACAAATATAACATGTCTCTTTAAATTTAGTTTCACCAGACCTCCAAGACAGTGCTTATATCTTTAAGAAAAAATTTCAAGTACCCAAGTATTCAAGAACACGGTGCAAAATTCAAGTATCTTTAAAACACCTACGGTTCTTATGTATTTTTGAAAAAAATCACGTGTATGTCGCGAGTGGCACGGGCCACATTGTCAAAAAAACATTTCGATGACACTCCGAATAGCACATACTACCTTACAAGCTATCAAAAACCCGGGAGTTCCAGCGCACTGTTTACAAACATTCCTTCTTCTCCATAATTAGTGAACTCCTCTTCAAATCATATTTTCGGAACTTCACGAAATTATTTTCTTATCGGACGACGTTTTGTGAAAAAATACGAGTATTGCGAAAGTTCCGAAAAACTAACGAAAATTCCTCTAGGGATAAATGGTGTCCGCAGGACACACGGAAAAAACATTTCGCTGGATAAGTCCCTTCACCCATCTCCTATTCAATGAACCATCTAAACATCCAAAGGAGCACACAGTCAATGTCAGTTCAACAGAATGAACTGCGAATCACAAGCCATCGCAAACAGCATGCCATCGCCGCCGCCGCGGTCATTAACGTACAGCAGGTCGAAGGGCGCCTGGAGGACCCTCGGGCTCCGTGAACCCCAGGTGTGCACCCGCACCGCAACCGGCAGGGACTGACGAAGCCCGCGGCCGGTGCTCACGAGCTCTCGGTGTCTTGCCTCGCGACCACCGCGCCGCGCCACCAACCACCAACACCACCGACGCCACCATCCCGCCGCGCCGTCCTTCGCGCCGCCACCCGCCAGCCGGCCGCCGAGAAGTGGACCGACTCTCCACTGATGCCGGCAAGTGAGGTGAATCACAGCGCCCTTCGCCACTCACACGGGCGCACCGGCCGATGCAACGAACGCCAGCATAGAAAGTAGTGAGGCCAATGGAAGGAATCAAAGGTTTTCCGGTCGTTCGAGAGAAGCCCAGGCGGAAGGGTGGCGGGGCGGCGGCGGCGGGCTCGAGGTGGAGTGTTTATTGTGTGCGGCCGACGCCCCGTGCTCCACGCAACGCGCTAACCACCCGCTCTTCCGGGAAGGAAGACGCTTGTAATACCAAGTGGAGGTTGCCGCGCTTGTCTCATGCAATTAGGGGTAGGTGTGGACCAGAGGGCGAATCCAGAGGAAGGATCCTGCTGCTTGTGTTCCCTCAAAAGTATCAAACTGAAAGGCAATCCTGTAGTTTCCACCACGAAACAAAGGATGTGGCAAAACATGTACGGCAAACCCTATTGCAGAATTCAGGAAGTGACACAAAATTATTTTTAAGATTTAATATTATTCAAGTCAAATTAACAGCATTAATAATTAATGACTGAAATTACGTACATGCTGAACAAACACGTATATACCATTATTCGATTTAGTCACCTATTCCATGTAAACAAACATTGAATTATACATCAAAGAAAAATACATTAATCCACTTTCGATTAATGCACACCATCAGGGGTTTTATGAGCTTAAAGTGTACATTATATTCCCAAAATACCTGTTTTGTGTTTTCAGAAAGAAAACTACTAATAAAAAATCATAATTGTGAAAAGCAAAAACAAAGCAATAACTTATAGGTCTAATAAATTTGAAAGCAAATAAAAGTTGTAAGCATAAATAGCTGTATCCTCCTCATATTAACGACAAACAAAAACAATTCATTTTTAGGTAACATATGTTTATTCTCTTGTCTACAACCCACGACGTTTCGCGACTTAATTATTCGCATCTTCAGGTGTACTGAGACAAATAAAAGAGACATTAAAAACACACTTAGATACATTTAAAAATATTCGGGCATAATAAAATAAAATTAAATGGACGAATGAGATTAATCAATCCATTTGGGTCTCAACGTACACATCAGAAAGAAGTGTATTTAAGTGTGTTTTTAATATCTCTTTTATTTGTATGGTACTTATACAAAGGTGGTTCCCAGAGGGTGGTTCTGATACATAGGTGGATGACAGTGTAGTGGTACCAGAGGAAGCGGCCAATTGTCGTGGAAGCTCGAAACGTTGTGGTTTATAGGCAAGAGAATAAACGTATGTAACCTAAAAAAGATTTGTTTTGATTGTTTTGATATGAGAAGAATACCACTGAATGAAAAATATTAAATTAGAAGACAATCATTTTTTGTTTCCTCTGGATAAATATTTGTTTCCTCATATTTGTGTCTATTGTGTTTTCATCTAATAATTATTATTAATTTCCTCCGTTTTTGGAATGTAATATCTTTCACATGAATGAAAATCGAACTTTTGTGCAAGTTGAATTTTTCTTACTGAAAACTTGTTTGCACCTGTATAATTAAAAATGATAACAATGGTACAAAAGTAATAAAACATTTTTTTCCAAAATGTGAGTGCACAGGGGACCAGAGAGCCGTAACTACCCTAAAAACTGAAATAAGTAGCCTTTCGTAATAATATGTTTATTTCCGTAAATATATTATATCCCTGATTGAAGATTGCCCATTAAAATTTTAAGTTAAGTATGGTGTTACTGTACAGGTTCGAATAAGTAATATTGCCAATTGTGTAGGGTAATAAAATTTTTAAAAGCTTGGCTTCGTATTAAAAGTCAACAGTAGCGTGCTATGGTCATTGATTCTCTGACTCCCTATTTTCCAATCATTAAAATTATTTTTATGTTTATTTATGAAATTGTATTTGGACATTTTTAATTTCCGAAAATCTTCTAATTTCCGAAAATAGAGTCAACGAATTAATTTCAGTTCCGAAAAAATAACAAACCTATTACATTGATGGCGTTTTGACATGTCATTTTATAAACTTTATGAAATCATAGTAAATGTATTACATAAAAAGGTGGATTGAAATATGTGACAAATGCTTCCCCAAACTATGATCAAATTGGATATTGTGCGATGCGTAGTAAAATCTACAATGAGAACGGATGAATTTGGGGCAAAAACTTCAATTTTGAATTTTCGAATCTTTTCCTGGAAAGGTGGCAAATTTAGATTTGTTATCCCAGTACAAACATCTTATATTACGTCAAATATCTAAAACAGACCGAAAACAACTTTAAAATGTTGAAAAATATATGAAGCTATCCCGAAAAAATGTCAAGGCGGAGTCAATCACTCCTACAATAGCCCCAAAAAAGCTTTCAAAACACCCTGAACTTTTATGTTCAAGTAAAATTTCTTATTTTAATTGTTTAATAAGAAAAGAAGATCCAAAAATAAAACATTTCTGGGTCTCTACTACGCACGCCAATAGTTAGGATTATATTGTGTGTCGTATATTAAGGAGAAAAAATAAAGGAGACTCATTTAGCAAACCATTCTTTTAAAAATGAACGATGGTAGAAAAAGGTCTGGAATTCCTTATTTAACTTATTATATATATGAATTTAATGCATATTTTTACTGTATGTATAGTTACCTATCTGCAATTTAATCACATGCACAAATGCGACATTTCTAACTTTTTATAGAATTGTGTATTCGTAAACTGTAACTGTAAATTCGTTAAATATACTGTTCTACCGCCGGTCAAGTTGGCCGAGATCGATAGGGCTGTAGTGTCGTAATGGTCTCGGACCAGAAAACCACCTCATTCGTGTACCACCTCGGGCATGAGTACATTTGTGTATGTCTATATGTGTGTGCAGTTCTTTTATCCCTTCCTATTATCATCTCATCGCCCAAACCTCCAGGAATAACAACCTTGGGGGGTAAATATCAGGATTCAGCGAAAATGCTACCCCCTCCTCCCCAGATAGAGGTACTCGCACCTGCTGTAGCAAGATTCCCGCGTGGTCCGAGTTGGCGTATACGCGAAAAAAAATACTGTTCTTCCAGTGTTCCGACGTTCAAATTGGATTAGTGATCTATTTTTCACTGATGGCTAATGACAATTTATTATTGGTATAATTGCAGCTTAATATTTCTAAAAAAATCCAGGGCATTTTCCTTTCTCGCGTATTTTGTTAAGAGAAAAATGCAGCAGGAATTAGTGATATTACAACCTCATAACTTTCTCGTATTACTGGTAACGAGTACGCAATATTATAATACTGAAACTTCAATTTCATTAATATATCAGCCATCATTCGAGAAATTCCTTATTAAACAAAGCAAAATATATTCGACAAAATTACATATCATTAATTCTTCGAAAATTCAAAAGTTTCAATGAAAATATTTATCTGCCATTGAATTCAGTGCATTGTATTCAATCATTTGAAAAATTTGTGCTAGAAAGTATTAGAAATAGTGCCCCAAATCGTTTTGAATCAATTGTGCGGAAAATGTGCGAGGCCAAGAAAAACTAACATTCACCAATTTTTAGATCTCCATAACCTTTCCCCCTTTTATAAAAACATCGTGTACATTTATTTTCTCCTGTATACCGTAAAAATTGTAACACCTGGAGTGAGAATCGCTTTTTTAATGCGTAATAATAAAAACAGAACATAGTTAATTGATTTTTGGACCGGAAACCTTAATTTTAAGACGCATAAATGCAAATGAATAACAAATATTGATTTATTTCACAAATTTCTTGTGGTGCTTCTACAAAAAAAAATATATCGTGTATGTACACGTCAAATATTTATATAATTTTTTAGTGAAACATACTAAAAAGTAAAAAAAACTTATTTTTTCGCAATAATAGTTTGTTTTTTTTTTACTTTTTAAAACCGTACCAATATAAAGAGTACTATGTGCATTTCTCGTAGCAAAAGAACACTTTGGGAACCCGTAAAGTCCATGATGTCATAACAGACTTTTGACAACTGAGGGCCATCATCGTAACTATCCATTTACCCTCGTTGCTACCTGTATTCATGATCCAATAGTCAACTCTACCTGTACTGTACATAGTATGAGCGTTAGGGTAAGGATCCCAAAGTTTTAAAAAATATGCACGCATTGCAATTCTCCTCCGCAGTACGTTACACACGTTACGTTTTTATTATGTTGTTTTTTTTTACGTTAAGACGCAAATGACAAATTCCAAGGTACGATAAAATCCAAAATAAATTAAATAACCGTATTTTCTCGCACATATACCAGTCTCGTTTCTTCAAAAATTGGCAAAAAATGAAAGGAGACTAATATGCAAGTACCTCGAAATGTAGCGAATTAATTTGTCAAAAATTTCTCAATTTTTTTAAACAAAGTTACAAATGATTGGATATTTTTTACCTCCTAAACCCCGCCTGCAATTTTCTTAACACCTGCTGACAAAGAAAATTGCAAGAAATTAAAATTTTTAAAACAATATTATTACAAGTAACAATACCAAGTACATACTGGACACCCTATATAATCCACAGCAGATCGATTGCCGGCGTAGGTAGCTCAGGGTGTCAATTGATCTCAGTGCAGTGTTTCTGACAGGTAAGTCGTAAGGTTCGAGTCCCGGCGGTGCGATGGCAAGATTTTCGGCACTGTCTAAACAGCGGCAATGTCGCATTCAGCCGCTGTCTGGAGGAGAATTCTTGCATCTGGCTGCTCAGACCGGTAGTTTTCTCTGTTGTTTTTTTTTTTCAATCAACACAAGGCGAATGCCGAAGAAAAACTCTAACACTCAGACCGCACCCGATTTTTCCTTTCTCTTCCTTGTTTCCTCACCCCTCACTTATACACA